TCAAGATCTGAAGTATTGGCAGCACAGTAGGTGACTGGTGTCTGAAGCAAGCAGAGGGATACAGGGGGGAGTTACATGCAGTGCTTAAGCCTCAGATCTTCTGTTAGTGCTATTACTGCTGTGAAATGGTGCACTGAGGATGACGTTCTCCATATTTATATTAAGAAAAACACTGAAACTAACTATGCCTGAAGAAATTAATCTTAGAAAACTGGTCACAAATGCATTGTTTTGTTGGGTCAAAAGCTTGAACTTTTTGGCCTCAATGTCAAGCTTTATGTCTGGAGGAAACCAGGCAGCCAATACCATGACATCAAATTTAGCGCAGTGGTGGCAGCATCATATTGTGCGGATGTTTTTTGTGAGATTAGTCAGGGTCAAGGGCAAGATAAACGCAGTAATATATCAAAACATCCTGCCCCAGAGTGCTCTGGAACTCATACTGGGGTAAAGGTTCATCTTCCAACAAGGCACACAAAGCACACAACCAAACAAACAAAGGAGTGGTTTCCACTCTGCAAATGTCATTGACTGGACCAGCTAGAACCCAGACTTGAACCAATTGAATGTCTCTGGAAAAATCAGAAAATTGGTGTATGCCAACCTTCCCCCTCCAACTGGATAGAAGAAAGAAGAATGGGAGAAACTGCCTAAAGGTTAGCGTGCCAAGTTTGTAACATCATACTCTAAAAGACCTGAGCTGTAATTGCTGCCAAAGCTGCTTCTGCAAAGTATTGAGCAAAGGCTGCAAATTCCTATGTACATATTATGTTTTTATTATTAAACTCGCAAGTACTTGGGTGTTCTACTTTGCAGAATTTTGTGGTGAAAAATAAAAATTTTGGAATAAGGCTGTAACATGAAAAAAGTGGAACAAATGAAGCACTCTGAGTACTCTCTGGATACACTAGAATCATTCCATCCACATTGTTTAATGTGCCCGCACCACTGGCAGGAAAACAACCCCAGACAGTGTTTTCATATTTGAAATCCTCACTTTTACTCCTCCAAACACACCTCTTGTCATTATGGCCAAAAAGCTAATATTTGTCTCATCTGACCATAAAGTTTTCTCCAGAAGGCATTTAGCTTCTCCACGAGGGCAAATTTCAGTCAAACTTGAATGTGTTCATTCTGGAACATGAGCTTCTTTCTTAAACAGTGTTTTGAGAATTAGATTTTACTTAACTATAAATTTATTAGGTATTCATTGTACTTACCAGCAGCTCCTCCCCTCCAAGACCTCTGTTGTTGAAGACCACACATCTAGGAAGGAAAGTATTTATGA